TTCGCGACACATGTTAAATTCTTCATTTGAAATTAATTTCATCTTACAATGATGATAACTCGATAAAATTTGAATCATATTTTCAGCATGACAAGTGATAACAATTAGCAGTATCGTTCTCAAAATAAGCATAAATTTTTGGAACCAAATTAGAACTTTAGCAGTGTTTATGTTGTAAACCACTTGATGCATGTTTACTTTTCAGTGAAGTAATTCTATCAATAGATATTTATATTACTAGAAAGCTTTCAAAATTTCCATATCAGTTGTAGCTTATTGTATCATTACAGCTTATCCATAACAACTGCAGCCTGTAAAGTTTCCGCTGAAGTTACAAACTTGGTACTAATTAATTGAGTAATTAGTCTTCTTGTCCTAATTTATTTTTCTTCATCACAGATAACCTGGTTTGCATTGGAATTCATAGGATCTAGAGTCATATTTCTCACTAGTAGATGAGAAAGGTAATCGCAAAAGTTCACAACAATGCAATCATATTTACCATCAAACTCGCAAGCCTTTTAGTTAGCTAGAATGAGATATCTTATAGCTAGTTAAGCTGTCTTATAGTTAGCTAGGCTAATATTGGAATTTGCGAAGTCGACAATGTTATAAAGTTAGTAGCAGTTCAATATTTTGCTCATCAAATACATGAGAGGTCAATCCTAGCAAATATCCCAACTTGTACCTAATATATGGACAGCTTCAGGATAACTTCCCTTACCTGTCTAAGACCATCAGTACCTAGTAACAATCTTCAACCGGAAAGGTAATAATTATTATTAAACACTAAGGAAATGTGAACTTTTACCGAGCTGATCTTAAATCAGAATTATTGACTTAACAATTGGTCACTATCTCTTACCACTTTCCGATCTATAACATCACTACTCCGGGTCATTACATTATTATTTCTAGAAAATCAAATTCTATTCAATCTCTCGGGACACTAGGATTTTAAATGATAATGTTAATATCTCAAAGGTCAAACTACTCTATTTTTCTATACGGCAACCGTTTACATAATAAGATACAACAAAATGTAATGATACATTCCATGATAGCAGTTATTAACCTCTGATCTAACACACAAACATGGAAACAATTCATGCATTATTATTATTTATAATAATTTATGCACACATATAATATAAATCTATTCATCAACATGTTCCAGCCGTTGTTTTTTCCTTTTTACATTTAAAGTTGTAAATTTTAAACCTAAAATGGCCAATTTTCTAATTTCATCGAATTTATTTCAAAATTTCATTAAAATTTAAGCAATACACAACGATTAGTTTGATATTTATCAAATCACATCCATCTTCCAGTTTATCTCGTAATTTTATTATGCCTATTATATTGATTTAAATTAATCGATATCGATGATTATTCTTAAACTCATTGAATCGTTTGCTCTGATAACTGCTGTTAATGAAATCATCAATGACTGAAATTATTGGATTGACAATGTTGTAGAATAACATCTGAGTGCCATTACTGTTGGGAACATAAAGATAAAGTAGGAATGCTGCCTGAAATTATGGAATTATATGTGCGATGTCGGTTAGAGAGTAGAAGTTAGACAAAACTTTTGTAATATGGGAATATGCATACTGCCATGTTATTATTGTTCTTCATTTTTGTCTATTTTAGATAACTATAAATTGAAAAATTAATAACACTTTTCGCTGTATTTTTAAATTCAAAAATAAATTGATGAGTGTTTCAAAAGCAAATTTAAACTTTTGTTCACCTTGAGAAGCCAATATATGGGAAGAGAGTTCGTAATTACAGATACCATTGAATCAACTATAGAAAATGTTGCAAAAACTGTCCAATACATCAACCACTGTGTGTCATCTTCCTTATTTGGTGTTCGGATTGCCTAAATTTCAATTTTAGTTTTTCATTTTAGACAACATATGAAAATTTCTTGAATTAATTTGAAAATTTACTTTAACAGATGCATAGGCGGGATATGCAAATCCAAAGACGTTACAGATTAGTTCAGCAAAACATCCAAATAATAGGTAAAAAGCCAGTAAAACTAAAATAACATACACCAACTGAAAAATAACCTTAAATGACGAAAAATTCATTCAATAATCTTAATGAATCGTGGGTAAAATATTAGTAAAACATTTGAGAAACTTTGGAATGTACTTTACAAGTAGTATGAAGAAAAGATGCAAAAGGTCAAGTGTCGAAAATAATAACTTGTTCACGGCTGGCTTTTAATTCCACTGGTGGGAGTAAATTATTCAAATTTGCATAACGTTTATTGCATAAAAATGCAAACAGTTGCGGTTTATGCGTTACGCCATGAAAGATTCGCTCCGATCCACTTAAATCTCTCTCATCCAAACTTACATTTGATAACCTTCTATCAGCTTCAACTAGTGTTGCCATCTCTAATCAGAAGCTTCATCATTTTATTTGTCATTCATTCTTTTTACCTGATAAGAGTAACTGCACGTCTGTTAAGCAAACGTAAAGAAACGCGTAATATTTATGGCATACAGTAGTAATTTACAATTGAAAACATCAATTTAAATATATTTGGTGGAATGGTTATCAAGAATTCAGAGATTTTCAAGTAAATGCAAAATGCATTCATTCTAATTACATCAGTTTGCTTCACATAAGCTACATTAGATAATGAATGACACCTCAATGACCCCGTGAGTCAATAATCGCTGCTTTAAATGACAAATCCAAGCAAATTATTAGTAGCAGCTCAGATAAAATAGAAAAGGAACTCATTTAGAGTAAGAATCAAGCTTATATAGTATTTTTTTTCCATGGAATGACAAATTTGCATGAAGATTTAAATTAAAATCGCTGTGATTTATAAAATTAGTTCCCAGTAAATGGTCATTTTAGGTGCATAAACAAAAATTGATAGACATTGAATTCCAAGTCCATTTGCTGATATATCCATGCTTCAGATATAAATAATCAGGAATATTGTATCTATCTCACAGATTCAAAATTAAAATTATTGTTTTCATCTTCATTATCTTTATTACCGCTAACATCAACGTTACTGCAATTCATGTTATGCTATTCAGTTTACTAGCATGAAGTTGCTAAATTGCACAAATTAACTGTACAATACTGTTTAATAACTATAGCACCATACTACGTCAACTGAACTTGACTAGTTGCATTTTCATTCCATTAACAATGATTATTCTACTTCGTGTTATATCTGTTTCTGTGCTTTGAAGGAAAAAAAAAAAACTCCCTGATGCTTTGCTACTGATTATCTGGGAGACCATACTGCAGTATTCAAAAAATTACTTAATCTAATCAAATGTAAATTATTGGAAAGTAGATAAATCAAAATGTTATGATATAGAAGAATCTAAATGACACAATATAATATAATTTCACAAATTGCAAAGTGGATGTGAAAAATAACAAAGCAAGAAAATTAAAAATAATTTGAAGAAAACTTCACTTTCCAAATGATATAAACTGATGCTTGAAATTTCGGCAATATCGATAAAGCACAAAACTGAATCTGAGGATGAAAAAGTCTTTTTGACCTTAAATTTTCAAAATGAAATGTATAAAAGGAATAATCTCCATAGTATGAAATTAAAAAGAAACGGTTAAAAGCGAAATGTCTACGTCTGTTCCGGCAACTACACACGACTTTCTGGAAAGTTGTCATAAATATGACTTTTTTAGAAGGCGAAATAGTCCGAATAGCGTTATCACATGGCATTTAATTTGTCAAATATATAAATATCACACAGACTGAAATAGCGGATACGCATGATAGAGATAAGGAAAATAAAATAAAACACAATCCAAGATATTAGCCTAGAATATCTGTGACAATTATATCAGTAACATCGAGTACTATTTTTCTCAGTACAACCTAATTGCTGAAGCAGATGGCTTACTTGACCGACAAAAATCTTACTAATACTGAATGTGTGAAGCCATCTAGAAAGGACAGAAAGATGATAAGCTGGTGAATAGGTTTGTGGAACGAAGAATAGTGAATTATCATAATCCTGAGATTGTCGCTGCTAAAAAGCCTTGTACTAGGTAAAAAAAAAAAAAAAAAGAAGCTCCAAGAAGATACCGTATTGCTATAAATCTAATACACATTTGAAAATTTCGTGACCAATACGAATGAGAGATGCTCCACCTTACGCACTCTTAACAGAACATGATTTCCAAGATTTCTTACTAAAAACTGAGAAATATCTGATAACTGTTAGCGGTATATGAAGCATTTGGTAATTTTTGAAGACTGATGGGCTGCTCTGCCTCACTGTGCTGTCTTCATCTTATTCTAATCCTATCATCACTTATAATGTTCAACAGAATAGTTATTTAGATAAAAACGTATACATTTGTATAAAGCTGCAACACTGAGATAACATAGTTCCTTAATTAAAAACCGTGGAAGGCAACAAAATATCAAGGGCAATACAATTAATCCTAATCATTATTTATGGAAGCTGAAAATCACTATAAGGGAATAAAATTACTCGACACGGCTAAAAACACGATATCATGGGTGACAAATCGAATTCGATTTTGACAAAAATAAAAGTACACTGTACATCACTATCAGTTTGCTTCTACCCTGAATTATCACCTCAATAATGACCTTCTAGGTAATTCTGCAACACGAAACTGTGCCTCTTCAATAACTGTTAGCAAATTTTCTCCATCAAGTTCATCAAGAAGAAGCAAAACGGCGGATAAAATTCGTTCCATCCGTTTTTTCTGAAACACTAAATTGTTTTTTCTTTTTAAAAAATACCGTAAAATGAAAAATTTTTGCGGGAATCACTCCTCTATTAAGAAAGCTTTCGACTTATGGAACCATTTCAAATCATTGCCTTATCTTCGACTGTTTGTCTCTGAGGCTCAACAAATCCGGCGCCAGTTGATTCGTCATCAAATTCTGCCAACTCATCACCCTCTACCATCGGTGAAAGTTGAGGCGGTTCTAACGGTTCCGTCTGAATGTAAAGCGCATAAACAACCTTATAAATTAAAAATTGCTGTCTATTAAACCTAACTCCATAATTTAAACAAGATTTAAGAAAAAATTATGGAACTGACATAACACAAACAATAAATTCATAAACTTCTCGGAATAAGATATAGAAAGTCGAAATGAAGAGAAACAGACAAAAAAGTTGGAACTTTGATTTTCTTCTTCCAAATTACCTGCTTTAAGAGCAGTTGTCTGTTCCTCAATACTTGGCGCACTTGTTCGTTCTCTTCCCTTTCGTATGCCCGACTTTCGCGTTGACTAGTTATTGAAGCGATTTCTTCATACGGTACTGGTTCACAATCAACGTGATGTTCTGGCGGTTTATCGCCAATTATTTCACCATCGTAAACTATTATAGATGCCTGGGCTCCAGGTCCACTTCTTCGTTTCGCTCGCAAACATCTGTTGCATCGGTAATACTCTTTGCGACCATCCACGGAACTTTTCATATACGCATACTGCCGGATTTCTTTTGTTTTGTCATCCATCACTGTCAGCAAAGAAGCATTGTAACGACTCGACAAGGCACGCTGCATTATCGTAAAACCTTTCAACACGCCCATCTTTCTCCTTAATAAGACTATTTCTATTATTACTTGATAGAATTTAAAATCGCAAGCTTAGAACTGAGTTAATGCACTTTTTGCGTGCAAATCAGAAAACCTTGTTAAAAAACTTACTTCCTTTCCTGTTCGTCATTTGATTCAGCATTTCTATTCTGCAAGAAAAGAAAAATAAACATTACAAAAACACAGCTGCATATTTGTA